CCCAGAAGAATTGAAAACATTATACCACAGCTATATATGTGCACCCATGTTTATTGCAGCACAGTTTGTCATAGCTAAATCTTGGAAACAGTGCAAATGCCTATCAGCTGAGGAATGGATAAAAAGATATGGTATTTTTATCATTTGTTTTACCAAAACAATATTTTGTTCTGACCACTTTTTTTTTTTTCTTTTTTTCCCGTACCGGGAATCAAACCCTTGACCTTGCACTTGCCAGGCAGGCGCTGTGCCTCTGAGCTAAATCCCCTGCCCCCAAAACAATATTTTGAATAAAACTATTTTTTATCTTTATGCCACTAAGGAATTCATGGCACCATGAAGTTTTTTTTTTTAGATGATACCAGCTTGTTATTCCTGTCAGTTATGTTTTAAATGCAATACCACCCTTACCTTACCTAACCTTCCTCTGTGCCAATGAAGTAGTAGTCTCAGGCCGGTGGATTATATGTAGTCTTCAAATTTTTTGTAATTTTTCTGTTTTTTAGTTACTGTCGAACTTTTCTTACTCTTAAACTTATTTGAAACAAGTTTCTTTTCATTTTCTGCTGGTAAATGTACAGTGGGCCCAGACCAGCTCCTAGAACTTTTTAGATACGGAGGTGTAAAGATGATCTTTCCTACTCAGATGCTGATTCCCCCAAGAAGCCATCAATAAGCACTAAGTGGTATTTTTCACTTTTTTTCTTCATGTTTTTATTACAAAAAGCATGTCCTTTGTAGAAATTAAGGGCACTTCATAAAAGTGAGAAGTTAAAAAGAGAAAATCCAATGTTTGCATCTATAGGCTGCCCAACTACTTTGAATAGTTTTGTTTTTTCTTTGAAACATCTTTGGGGGTTACATGGTGGTGTGCACCTATTATCTCACCACTGTGGGAGGCTGAGGCAGGAAGATTATAAGTTTGAACCCAGCCTGGGTAAGTTAGTGAGGTGTTATCTCAGAACAAAAAAATAAAAATGGGCTGGGGATGCCTGGTATGAGAGGGGAAAGGGGGTGGGGGAGAGAGCAAGAGAGAGAAAGAAGTATTTTTAAGATATTTTACTTAGTGAAAATTATACTACATATAAAATCAGGCAAAATACATGTATTACATTTTACATTCATTGAATAACTGCATACTATTTCCTTGGACAGTAAAATGTAATGTATTTAAATATTTGTATACATTATTGGGTACTTAGGCTTTATCTAGATTTTTGCTCCGCAAGATGAGATAATGATAAACATCTGTGAACAGCAACCTTTTGCTACATTCCAGATTAGTAGAAGCTAAATTTATGAAATGGAGTTTAAATTTTCCTTCATTGTGGTTTTTGAAATTCACTTAATAATATTTTGTACTCATTATTATTGCCAGTAGAACCAACTTTTCACCATTTATTGAGTGCCTGTAGCATGCTTTTTTTTAATACTTTGAATCAAAAGGAAATGTTGCCTTAAGTTACTAACATTCTAACAGAAGGAAAAATGAATGAGCAGATTAAAGAAAGCAGATGAAAAAAGTGCAGTGAAATAGTATAGGATTCAATTTAAACTACCTTGACTGATGGGAGAGCTGGCAGGTAACCTTGAACCAACGCTATTTTGAGCAGTTTTAATATGACAATAATAATACAGGTAAATAACTATAAGTACTTTTCGTATATTTCATATAAACCCTTTTTATTTCTACATGAGATTTTGAATTTCATTTAACTTTTTGTTTCCTGGGAAACCTGATGACATGTGTTTTAGGTTAGGTTTCCGTGATTAGCAGATTTTGAGATGCAGATTTGCATGCAGGAAGTTTGTCGGGCAGTTTTCTTGGGCGCAGCACCTGTACGAAGGGAGAGAAATAGAACCGGGCAGGAGTTGAATCGTGATGTCACACAAAGGACTCAGCTTGACACAGCTGGGCTGGCCAGGTGTTCCTCCGACAGCCCCAGTTCAAACTGGTGCTCAGAGCACAATTACTGGTAAGATCTTTCGCCATTCTCAGAAGTTCATACAATGGATTCTTTAGTCACTCCAGATATATCTACAGAAATGTGCTACCTGTGCACGGCCATTGTAAAGAGTAACTAGAAAGAAACACGTTTGTGTGGCGACCACCACAGCCAAGGAGTGGCACCCTGGTGGGCTCCAGCAGTCTATTTCGCAGATGGAACTCCACCTTTCTCAGAGATAGCCTCTACCCTTGCTTTTGTTTTTTGCATTAGTGGGTGTTTATAGTGCATAATGCTTATACTGCTTGTGGTTATTAGCACAGGCCCCGAACACGTTGCAGTCCTTCTTTGCTCTCCTTCCCCTCCCATCTTTCTATCTCTTAACCCTGATCCCCTCCCTATCTGATAAAGATCTATCTCCCCACTTAACTGTTATTTATCTGTCTTTTATTTTGTTCTTTATTTGTGTTTTGCATTTCTCATATATTTTCCTGTATTTTAAACTAATAAAGTCTAAATTATCAAAACCTAAAATTAGTACTAGAATTTTCTTCGTTATTATTCCATATCATTATATATGTATTTCATTCGTATATTACTATACATATCTTTAAAAGTATATTTGTATTTTAATATATGATTACAGGGTTGTGGGTAATCAACCTGAGATTAAATGTTGGAATTTTAATTTCTTTTTGAATTTTTTTTTTTTTTTTTAGTACCAAGGATTGAACCCAGGACGTTTGCACTGAGCTATAGCCGCAACTCTTTTTATTTATTTATTTATTTATTTATTTATTATTTTATTTTATTTATTGGTACCAGGAATCGAACTCATGACCTTGCGCTTGCCAGGCAGGCGCTTGCGCCACTGAGCTATATCCCCAGCCCTTATTTGTGGGTTTTTGAGACAGTATCTCTCCGAGTCACTAAGTGACCCAGGCTGGGCGTGAACATGAAATCTTCCTGCCTCGTCCTCCTAGTGTGCTGAGATTACAGGTGTTCATCACCATGCCCAGCTGATGCTGGAGTTTTATTACACATTTATTACACTAAGATTAATGAGCAAGAAGACAAAGCTCTTGGCCTCAAGAATTTGATAATCTAATATGTGATTGTGATATAGAGCCATCAGTGCGATGATGGGAAGCACGCCCAAGATGTTAGAGAACATATAGCCTGCAGGGTGGCGGGCAGCTTTCCTGAGGGAGGTGATGTCTCCTGTGAGCACTGAGGAAAGTAGCGCTACTCAGGTGAAGGTGGTGTGTACAGCACGGGCAGAGCTCCGAGATCCCTTCCCAGTCGAAGGAAATAGTCCAGAGACAAGAACAGTATGGCTAACGTGGTCACTGTGAGTTGCCCACTGCAGGGGGAACAGTGTTCTCTATGATCTCTCAGGAGCAAAGTGTGTCTTTGCGTCAAGGTGTTCTTTTGCAGGACAGTGGTGGGAGAGAGTGAGAGAGAGATGAGTGCCGATCCTGAAGGGACTGGAGCGTCATACTGAGGAATTTGGATTTCATCCTGAAGCAATGGGAACTCGGTGGAGGGTTTCAAGCAGTGATTGTCCAGCCGAGCGACATGACCATATTGCATCTCTAGAAAAGACAGAACTTCTGTCTATGGAGTTAGCATTTAAATTGACAATTTTAAAAGCGGGAAAACTGGGGTGAAGATTCTTGGAGTCAGCCACTTGCGAAATGATGGCTTGAGCTAAGCCAGAGGAAATGAAAATGGAAAGACGTAGACAGATTTAAGAGACAGTTGGAAACAGAATCAACAAGATTTGATTCATGAATGATGTGAGGAATTTGAGGGAGAGAGAAGTGAAAAAACTGTGTGCCGATTACAGTTGGACATGAGAACCATAGACCTTGATTCTGGTTTGAGAGGAAATTTGAGGACAGTGCTGGATTGGTTGAGTTTGAAGAGTGTACCCGGAAAAGAATGGCCAGTGAACAGCCACCTTTGTGGCTGTGGAGAAAAATCTTGGTCAGGACAGACATTCAGGAGCAGTCGCTGAGTAGGACCTGGTAACGTGTTCAGGATGGAAATGGGAAGCAGGCATGTTGACTGTCTAATATCCACGGCAGTCTTAGGAAATTAGGCTTTTAGAGTGCTAGAGCGATTAAGAACTAATTATACAAGTGCTTTAATGATCTGGTGAGTTCTTAGCAGTTTATATTTATTAGCATTATTTAGCTTTTTTATTTTATTGGTTTTGGTTTTGTTTTTCACATCATCTTGATTTTTGTTTTAACCACATGTATGGCCAGTGGATACGGCAGAATGAACTCACAATGAAGCACAGTGAAGACAGAGCTTTTGGGAATTGAAGTTATAGACATACATACAGTGCAACACACACACACACACACACACACACACACACACGTTTATTATTAGGACTTAGCAAGTTAGGAGAAATGTTGAAGCCCCTAAGTTTGTGTATATACATATAAACCATATATATATATATGTATATAAAAATATATACATATATATATATGGTTTCTCCCAGTTCTAGAAATAAAATATGCATAGGAAATGCTTTTAGAAAAAAGTACGTATTTTAATACGTTAAATAGAAAATATCCATTATTCATTTTGTCCTTACTTCCAGCTTATAGTGACACTTAAAATCTTATAAATCAAATCACTTACATATGTGTATAATATAAATATCTTCATGTATAAATATAAGAATGTAATTTAATTTTTAGTATTATTTTATCATAAGATATAATTATAATGCATGTCCATATATTTATGCCACTTGTATTTTAATATCTACATCCTTTCCATTAAAAAGTTTTTATTTTAAATAACTTTTTCAGACAATTGTAGTAGTAATTAAGCTTAGGAGTAGTCTACTAATACTCTTAAAAATAATTTATTCTCTAATTTTCAGTGCAGTTCTTTTGTAGTGTTAGTATTTTGAATTAGCTACTACCATCTTATTTCATATGCTGTACATGCACACATATAATTTAATCATTGATCACTGTGATAACAGTTAGACAAGTATGTACTATATGATATTTATTTTGCTTATAGGAAAATGGCTCTCCTGAAGAGCATGCAGTCTATGTTTGGGACCACTTCATAGCCCAGTCTGCAGCTGAGAATGTATTTTTTGTTGCTCACAGCTACGGAGGACTTGCTTTTGTTGAACTGGTAAGTGTAAACTTAATATTTTGTTAATTACAAATTTCTCTACAGGTGTATCCTCTGTATTCCCTTGGTCTTGATACTATTACTTTTTTGGTAAAGAATACAAATAAAATATTTTGAATGAATGATTTGTTATATTCAAAAAGAATATACTAATTTATTTTAGCATGACAGAGCTTTAAAATGATGACTAGAAATCTTTTCTGTTTCATATTTATACATATTTTCAAATTTTCTGTAGTTTAGCCTCAATTTCTGTACATTTTTTTTTGGAATTTTCTCAAACTTTTTTATTTTAAAAAATAAAAGAAGGAAAACATTAACAGACAGACATCCATTTACAAAAGAGCATAAGAACAATACAAACAAAACAAAGTTACAGACAAAGTTGTAGGAAATTAACCATGGTTGTTACATTACTTATTGCTATCTCCAAAGTGGTTTCTCAGGAAAACAGAGACATACAAGATTGATCAAACAAGTAATCATTAACTGTTCCTTTCTGCAGAGCAATAGAAGACAGTAGTATAACTATGTTAGCTATCCTGTATATACATACTTACATAATTTCCGCTTCTTTCGCTTATGTGTCCTGTTTTATGTGTGTACAACTGTAACTTATGTTACCAGTAATATTTGAGACCTTTTGACCATTTGCAAAGTATTCAGTTCTTGGTACTTGATCAGAATTGATAAATTTAGTATTAAAACTATAAGAAGAATGCATTTATTGGTCATAACAATTTGCATTTCAAAATACCTCAACTCTTAGATTTAAGATTATTGGTACATAATAGAAAAATTATAAAACTTTTTGAATTTTTGTCTGTATTATATTCAGTATTAAAGCACGATCTTGTGCCGATATGGTTAATAGATTATAAACTACTCCAAAAATACAGTAATGAACTATTTGTGCCTGCATGTTCACATCCTCTTATGTCACAAAGAGGTACTATTGCTATAGTACAATGATTTGTTCGAGAAAAGTGCATTTGAGAATTTTACACCCAACTGTTACAGGAGGTGTTAATGGTAAACCCAACATTAAAGGTCTAATGTTTTTAGACTTAGATACTTTTGCATGTTATGGAAATGAAGTATATTTGCACAGCCTTTTCAGTTGCCCTACACTTTATTGCTTCACATATGACTTAGACATAAAGCCACTGTTGACATTTGGCACCTGAGAATGCTTCAGGTGACCAGAAATCTGCAAATGCTTTTGCTATTTTAAGCTCGATAAATAAGTTAAATCTTTTATTTCTTACATTGGTTTCGGTCAGGAGGGCTATTTTAAGTTTACTAAATTTATTTATTTTATATATGTACAACAGATATCTGAAGCTAGCTCTGACACATTGCTATGATGGACATTTAAAAATACAAATGTCTTTCAAATATTTCCTTTGAGCCTTACAGGTTTATAACTATCAGATTAGATAGCGTAATTTTTCCTTGTAAGCCACTAAATTACTTAAAGCCCGAATTTTCTTAAATTGTACACTGACTTAAAATATGTTTGAAGGCCCAAAACTCTAACCAAATTTCAGATTCCTATAAAACATAGATACCTTTTTCTTTTTTCTTTTTAACTTTAAGACAATTTATAAAAACCATTGTGTACGAATTTTGCAATTTAAGTAGATTTCAAACCATTGGTAAGATGAACTTAAGATGCCAGGGTTGACAGATGACCAGGGTGTCAGTCTTGTTTTGCCTGTCCTCCTTGTCACACACTGGTGGATATTTCTCCACTTTTGTTCCACTTTAATATAAAGCACACAGATGTTTCAGAACAAGACTTGACTTCTGACCTTGAGGCTATTAGGGTCAGGGTCCTCAGGGCCTGTGAAATTATCACAAGCTGAGCTAAAGTTTTTCTCCATCGCAGGAAGTAACCAGTAAGTAAGAAGTTAAAAAGGAGCTTTGTCAGAGAGACAAGATGGTCTCAGTAAGGGTCAGCTTCTGTAGTCTGCTATCTCTGCAGGAGGCACATGCATGGGAGGAGGAATATAATATAACCACTGGCACATCACGTATCTGTCAAGCAACACCAGGGCTGAGAAGTCTATTTAACGTCGTATACCTTGTTTGGGGTTGAAAACATTAATGGCTATTATCTCAACTTCATATATTTGCTACTTTTTGAGAAATAACTGATTAGGGTATGTAATGGGGGCATAGAGACAGTGGTAAATGAAGGAAGAGTGGTTCCTGACCTACAAAAGTAGATTTCCCTGAGCAAATAACACTGATGAGTTTTACAATGATTTTTGACAAATTCTATTCTATTTAAATTCATTATGTTTCAGTTTCACAGGGCTTTTTAAAAGAGAGTTTTGTTCAAGAAAATACACAGAAATGTTTTCAAACTTTGTACTTCACTTAAACTAAGTAATATTCTTTCATATTCTCACTAATACTCTTTTTTTTTTTTTTTTTTCCAGTATCTGTGCTGCCAAAGCAAGCACATTTCACATATTCTTCAGGGAAAAGTCATGGTGTTTAAAATGTTGGCAAATATTCATTCTCAGGATTTTAAAACATAGTGTAATATACAGAAGTTGTTTACATGAATTCCAAGTTTTAATGTTAGCTGTACAAGAAAGTGAATTGTGAATATTAATATATAAATCTTAAATTATAGGTTAGGTTGTTTATCTCAATAGTGTATTGTGTACATCATGCATTAAATGCTTTGGATTTAAGACGTGTTTACATTTTCCACAGTCTCCTAAAATTTACTCCTGTTTAACTGACTGTACACACACACACGCGCGCACACACACACACACACACACGTACACACACTGAGGATATTACTTTATAGCATCATATTTAAATGCATGGAAATTGTCCTTAAGCCATCACTACACAAGTTCACATTCTTCTGCAGATCATGAATGTCAAAATTTATTTTAAATGTAAAATAAATTATAAGTGCAGTTTCACCAATAAATGCAATTACTTACAGTACGTACTGTTTAAATACAGGTACCAGTCAGGACCTAAAATTAAATGTATCCTGCCAATCACTGATGTAAAACTGTATATAGTTGTGGTTTAAAATTAAATGTGCTGCTAATAGGTCTCTGATGATAAATTACATGAAATTTAGAGCATAAAAATTTTGTAGAGCTTTCATATTTCACTAATTGTTGTTTTTGAAAACTGAGAACAAAATTTATGATTATATCCTATCTTAAAGTGTTGAATTTCTCCCCAAGAATATATTACTATGAGAGATTTATTTTCAAAAGCAATGTTCATTTTATGATAGTAAACCTTAGAACTTGACCAAGTCTAACCTCGTAAAAATAGTGTACATTATACTATAGTAATGAGAAAAATGATACTAAAATTATATTATTCTCTGCTTTTGCTCTCATGTAAGCAACAACTCAGATTTTTCAGTTCTCTAACCTTTTCTTGGTAAAAGTAGATGTTGATAAGATAGTTCTTATATCTATTCCAGCAGTCATAAAAGACAAAAGGAAAGAACTATTTGTGTTATGAGTTGATAACACATTTTTGAAAGTGACATATTTTACTCTGCTGTCTTTTCTGTACATTTAAAGTATTGCCAATCTGTAAAGTTAGTTATGAAGGCCTTAAGTTTCTCTCTTAGAAATTTTATTTTTTACGTGATAGAATTACAAATCCTAATTAGAATGCATGTATCAAGTACAGTGAGAAAGACATCTACAAATAACAGAGCTCACTTTTACATTAGTCATTAAAAACTCAGACTCTTTTTCTTTTTTTAAATTAACTGTCATTATAAAACAGTGCAGTTTTTGAGCCTCGTCATCATCTCATCTCCATCTGTTTTGATGAAGTGGTTTCATTGCTTCCATTGTTTGCCATTTTGGAGGGCTTTGTTCTTGTCTTTCCAGGTGATGATCAGTTTGGCAACACGAAGAAACCTTAAAATTTTTCTTTTTCCTGGAAACGAGCTGGCTTTGCTTGTCAGAGCCCAGTTACCAGGCTTCGCTCACCTCACCCTCCCTGTTTGCAGTGCTCAGTAACGCTGTGTGCGTTGTATTTCATTCCCTAGCCGAGACAAGAGTGTTCATATTTTTGTGAAACATTAAATACTTCAGTAAATAACATTCCATTAGTTTATTGATTCCTCTCAGCTGATATAAAATTAGTGTCTCTCTGATTACTTTTATTTCCCTTTCCATGTTATTAGTGGTATATTCACAACCACCATTAAAAACATCCCTTAGAAATGTATGAAAACAGCTCCTTTTGAAAGGGCGTCCCTACCCACTTTTGATTTTGGTTTCTCCATGCTTGTCAGCACTTGATTGGCACCTCACTTGCATGTGAATTAAGGAATGAAGGGAACTCTATTTTCCTGCCATTGTTCCGTGCTGGGCTCCCTGGCCTCCAGGCAGTCTAAGCTGCCCTTGAGCAGCTGATGGAGGACTAGTGTTTGGAGGTAGCTGTGTGAGGACACTAGACCTCAGTCTACTCTCAGTAGGTCTTTTTAAATTGCCTAGAGCATGATTTAGATTTACACTGAAGTAAAAGTGGGGTGGAGCTGAAAGCTTTAGTTTTTACCCCTCGTGACATAGGCTAACTGTGATCTTGAAGTATCAGTGCATTTTGCTCGCAAAGAACAAAGTAAATATCTGTTAAGTGTGATCAGTGGGCTGCTGGCAAAGAACTGAGGGGACGTAAGATAAGGGAGGATAAACCAAAGAAAAATTGAGCCATAATTAGTATCAAAATAATGCAGGTTGAAAACACTCAGAAGAATACTGTAAATTGAAGTAACTCTGTAAAAATAAGTTTTCATTTCTAATAAAACTACAAGATACAGCATAACTCAGCTTCTCTCAAAGTTGTCTCCTATCTCTGTCTTGACTTGGCCAAATGATCTAAAAATAACTTGAACACAGTTTCATATTGTCCTCACATTTGAGAGCACCAGGTATTACAAATTGAGTGGTCTTAAGTGTCTGTACAGTTAGTTTACCAACGTAGGGAGT